TATATATATATATTATATACACACAGAGAACATGTGTTTGATCAGCTGACAGCTTCATATACAAATGGCGGATGTTTTTCATTCATTTCCATGCCCATTTTCCTAGGTTCCACATATAAATTCATGCTCTTCAAGGGTGATATCAGCTAATGTTGACAACTAGCCTATTATCACTTGCTTAATATCTGTATAGAAATTTTAATTTAAAATTAAATTAGTTGCGTAGCCTTTCGCCATGCAAATACAATCATGCACTTGTCCTTAAAATTGTTCTTAGTGCTGTTCTTGTAACTGTGGTTGCAGGGATGGAGCTGGTGGGGTCAAGATCCAGAGTCTTAGCAGCAACTATGATTACTTCGTTCTACGCGATAGGCCAAGCTCTGACAGGTATAATCGCTTGGTGGCTACAGAACTGGAGGCTAATTCTAAGAGCCTCATATCTTCCGTCGTTACTGTGCATATCTTATTATTGGTAAGTTACTGTTAGCATGTCCGACAGTTCACCTAACGGAAGAGTCTAGAGCTTTGAACATGTGCAGGACGGTCGGTATACACATTTTCTGTCTGTATCTTCTATTTTCGCCAAACACAAGGTTTACATTCTGCTTACGTGTCATATCTACACATACAGGGTGATTCAAAAGGTTAGGGCCAAACTGAAGGAGCGTATAGAGGGACTCAGAGAGAACAACTTTCGAATAGGAATCCATGTCCTCCGAAGTTATCCTGAGTCAGTCGAGGCCATTGAAGGCAGGGAAGTCTGATAACATACCGCTGAAATAATTGTACTTTGCTATTCTCCTACTAGCTTAATTTGTTTTTTTATTAATGTCTGTTCTTTAAAACCACGACGTTTCGGAGGCTGGTTCTGTCTCCGTCTTCAGGTGAGAGGTGCCTACTCTGCTGGGTCCCTTAGATAGAGCTAGTCTCTGTCACTGGACCCTAAGGGACCCAACAGAGTAGGCACCTCTCACCTGAAGACGGAGACAGAACCAGCCTCCGAAACGTCGTGGTTTTAAAGAACAGACTATGGAAAGGGTCCTGACAATGAATAATTTTAAGTGTATTTAATCTCAGTTATATTAGCACATAGATTAATAATTTAACAATTCCTAATTTTCTTGCATTTAAAGGCTTATTCCCGAGTCGGTAAGATGGCTTCTGACGAAGAAAAGAACGAAAGAAGCCTCCGATATTATACTTAATGCAGCTAAGAAAAATGGAGTACGCCTTTCTGAACGTGTGATGAGTGAGATCAGATCATCGTTGGAGCATAAAGACAGTGAGGTGAGTCTTTACTTCAGACTTTGAATAAACAGTTCAAGCAAAACTCCACTGTGTGATTGCAGCAAGCAGTTAATTAATATAAAATAATAATTATGTCACATCCTTTCTCTTAAGAGCTGCAATTTAATGTTAAGTAAGAATAATTCAGTAATTGTTTCTTGCATTATCAAGTGTTAATTAAGAGGTTACTGGTTTGTTTGGATTGTTGATTAGATTTATTAAAGATTTGTATAAAACATTCTAATTTGGGTCTACATTCAGCTATATCTGTTAATTAAGTGTTTATTAACGCTGTGTGATATAAGGAGTGCGCAATGTTATTATTTCAGTAGGCCTACAGTTTTATTTAAGAAAGCCCCAGCGAAAAATGGTCAATTTAGCTAGTGATTCGTGGCGCTGAATCTGTGTTTAAGAAACATAAGACCATTGTGCATCGCGGCCCACAAGTCACAATTTTTGAATACTGATGTTTTATAGAAGTTCAGCAGTTACTGTCAGTTATGTAGGATTTGAGGTTTACACGGCGGTGAGTCTGAAGATGGGTGTCTTTTGGGTTGTTGCGCCGTGTAGTCTGGTAAAAGTTTACCGACATTTCAGAAGTCATTGCGATGTTCGCCCTGATGATGGAGGCATTAAGGACCTCTGAAACGTCGGTAAACTTCTACCAGACTACACGGCGCAATAACCCAGAAGACAGACATCTTTCTACTGTCAGTTACATGTACTGTTACAATATTCCCAGGACAGCCTGGAAGGAAGTGGAAGTCCATGGAAAGAGGCACTTGGACAAGTCTTCAGATCGAAGACTTTACTAATAAGACTAATTGTCTGCATCGTTTGCTGGTAAGCGTCGTCTGTCCTAACGGTGTAGATTTAATTAACCTGGCGCAGAATAGGGACTGATGGCGGGGTCCTCTGAACACAACAACAAACCTTTGGTTTCCATAAAAGTCGATCAATTTCTTGGCTAGCTGAATGTACTATTTACCTTCTCAAGAAGTACTGTGTTCCATGGAGCTGGTTGGTTAGTTATAACGAACTAAATGCACTGACGTCCTCTCCCGCTATTAGTCTTGTCATTGTTGACCAGGAAACCAACATTTCGGAAAGTGGATCTATCTCAAAGCCACACTCCGATTTTACGCTGAATTTCTGACGTAAATTCAAAAGAAAAATATGTTAAATTCTTTTATATATTAGTATATAATTTTTCACAAAGAACCTAAAAAGGGGATAGGGATAATAAAGGAGTAATTCATCTATATGGAGTAACAGTTTTAATACTTTAAAAAACCTTGTGAGTTCCTTGAATGTTGCTCGAAGTAGCCGAAACACGTAGGGAGGAAAACATAATATGTAGTTACATTGCACGGTATTGATACAGCTATTTATTGTCAGTAGCTGAAATTATATGGCGTCGAATAATAGGATGATCAGAATTGAAAAAGTTTTGGAAGAAAGCGGTCGTGGCCTAATTTAGTTATGACACCGGCGTTTGACTTGGTGGATTGAGAAAGCCCAGGAAAGATCTTAGCCAGCACAGCTGGTTGTCGGGTCGTAATTGACCCCAGTACCTCTAGAATAAGAAGTATGAGTAGTAACCATACGACAGCTAAGTTTTGTGTTCTAGGAAATGTTGAATATTTCCTTAATTTTCAGGGTCAGCATTACGTTCGTATACTTCGGCCTGACAGTGAATTCCGTGTCAGTGGGCAGTAACAAGTACACGTCTTTCATCCTGGTGGCTCTGATCGAGTTACCTGCGTACGTGGCCACTTACTTATCGCTGAAGAAGTTCGGAAGGAAAATCTCCCTTTGCTCAACGCTCATAATTTCGGGCATCCCCTGCACAGCCTTCGCACTCCTACCGCCAGGTAAAAAGCAACTATTGTCAACGAAAGTGAAGAAGAGACGCGAGCTTCTAGGGTGGCGGTGCTGACGCGAAACTGCAATGAGGTTCTGCGCACATTGAATATTCTCTTTGACATTACGACCAATTTGTTTGTTTCTTTAGTTTAATCATTGCTTACAAGTCTGTCGCTGTTCGTTGTAGCGAGCGATCTTTTGAATGTTCAACCATGTCAAGAATTCGAATGCAAGATGAGGACAAGACCGACGTTTTCAAGTATAATAGTACCGTCCTTCTGGCCACGTGTATTCATTTCTCTCTTTGACGGTAATATTATACCTGAAAGCTTCCTCGATCGTACGAACCGTTGTTTGCAGATGGCTCAGCAGTAGAGTCCTTCTTAAGAAGGTAGTGATGAAATTTCTTTTGTGAAACACGAAGTTTCATTGCCATTACAGCGTTCACAAGATCTCGCAATCGGGCCCTGCCCTGATCAAGATAAACACCGAACATCGAGGTCGAGGGGTTGGTATTCCTACATCGTACTTAAGAGGTCCCGGGATCAAATCTCGACCCGAAATACAGTTCTCCATGCATAATAATTCTAATACTTGTCGTTTTTTTACAGTTTATTGCACGAAGTGCAAAGAGTGATCGCATTTGGGAGAAGTCTTATCCGTCTGTCTGTTTGAACGTGCAACCTTCTAAAACGCAGAATTAATATCTATTAAATTTGGCAGTAGAAATGAACATTAAAAATGTTGGAGATAGTTTGCTTTTCGAACATGTTTTCCTGAATTATAAATCCGACATTACTTCGTCGTGTAATAAATCGACACTTATTAAGATTTACAATATTTGACAATTGTTTAACGAATCCAAGGGAATATCAATTTCTGGTTCCCTGCCAAGGCCAAATCAGTGTATACAAAATTTCCAGGAGTGCATTTGGAAAATACAAAGTAAGCCTGTATGTTCGCGCCCGTAGGTCCTATTTTCTTCCTTCTGGAGGGTTCTTTTTGAGCTACCAAAATTATACTGCCATAATACTTTCGTGTAAACCATTTCACACCTTCTTTTATTTGGTAACGAAAATAGTACTTTATTAGCGAAATGTTTCACAGAGCTTCTCGTAATCTGATTATGAATGTTACGTGTTCAAGAACCAGATTGGTTAAATTCACAACACCAATTAGATGCCTAATTGTTACACCCATTCATTCCTGGAGCAAGGTGGAGGTAAAATGTATTTAAGACGATCTTGTGAAATAATTGCTATCTAACGAGTGTGTACAGACACGTGGTGTAAAGTTTTTGAAAATTTCTGGGTCCAAAGAGCACAATATTGTGTACGTGAGGATTTTTTTGTTTTTAACAAGACACCGCTCCGTGTTTGTTTACCGTAAGCTACTGCACGCTTTGCAGATAACTTACAACCATCGCCAAAACATTGAAGCTTCTCCAAATATTTAACACTCTTTTAGCTTTATAACAGTTTATTACACAAGATCTCAGGATTCAGTTTTTCCAGTAGTGAAATTGAAGTAAGAAGAGCCTAGAAGATGGAGGCGATATTTTTATCCAATACGCAGGTAACTAATTTCAAGACGCCAGAACTCAGAAGATTATAAATGAATTCATCACTGTCGTCAGAAACTCAAATTCAAGATAGGAACAAGAAGTTTAACATAAGTAAAATAATTCGACGTTACACCTACTCTTGTACTTTTTGTAGATTTAATCTTCACAGTCGTTTTACAGTAAGTTAAAACTATATTCGCTTTCGGTAATAAAACCCACAGTCCCATGCGGACTCGGTGAACATAGGTCCACATGTAAATTAGAGACAAAATCAAAATTACTGCTAACAGGAGATATGGCCCCTTGTCAGTACACTGTTAATTCCTCAAATTTAAGTACCCGTTTCATTTTACATCGGAGGATAATATTAAATGGACTTTAAAGGAATGCTCAAGACAAGAATTACGGCTCTAGGGAACACGGTAACGGATCTTCGTGTTTCGTACAGAAGTTTTTTTCTTGACTAACTGAGTATCAACTTGTCAGTAAGGTGTTAGCCTTTTGTAGTTTACATAAGGCGCAATTTTCTGTGTGCGACAGGCTTGGAGTGGGTACGTCTGCTGCTTTTCTTGGCTGGAAAATTCGCCATCACCATCTCTTATACGGTGATGTATGTGTACAACGCAGAACTATTCCCGACACAACTCAGGCACTCCCTGCTAGGTGCCTGCGTCATGTTTGGGCAGATCGGTTCCATTCTTGCACCACAGACACCGTTGCTGGTAAGGCGAATAGTGGCTAAGTGAATAAAAACCTAGAACAAATTAAGAAACCTACGCATGATGTATCGATTCGCCGAGATTTACCTTTCCGATTGGTTTTAGTTACGTCATAGACGGGAATTCGCGTAGATCTTCATGTAAATGACCCGTTATTGATTGATTTTAACCAAAATTTGAATGTGTTGACAAAAGCCATTCGGCGGAGTTGTTACACACGGACAGACGTCTAACGAAAACAATAGGCACATTATTACAGCTTTTAGTTGCAAACAAACCTGGAAACGCGGACATACATCCGTACCCCTATCACAGTCTTCAACCAGAATAGTCTGTTTCTTACTTCCCCACCCTACCCCACTTATACGACTGAAGCAAACAGCAGTCCAATAAAGTAGGATTCAGTTATACTACTTAACGAATCTCATGGAGAAGAGGCTTTCTTGAGAAGCATTATTATCTCTGTTTTTGTACAGGCTATGTTTCGTTGTTCGCATTGGTTCAAAATTATATTTTCTTGGAATTCATTTACGCTGTGAACATACATGATAATATACGTATGAGCAGCAACAGCTAATAGCTATCAGGAACGGAAATGACCTTGTCCTCATTCACGTTATTTAAATCATACGTGAGAAACTACAGATACGTTTACAATACATCAGATGCTCCCACCAAACAAGATTTTAATTAGAATTACAATAGTCTACAAGGTCGGTATCGTACAAACGTCGAACAGAATATTAACGTGTCTAATTACAGATCGGAACATTTTCATTTTATTAAAGTTATCTTTATAAAGTTTAGTTTAACTATCAACTATCAGTCAGTGAAGAAAAATTATTGACCGAGCAAAATGTGTAAATCAGGCTTTGCGTAAATATGATCGCTCTCTTTTTTTTAAAAAAAGGAGAACACATATTATATGTTCTTGGAACAGAGTTCTCAGGAAAATTTGCCTATTTGGACGTAAGTGGGATAAAATGAGGAACTTAGGACATTCCAAGGAATTTCGGGCTTTCATAGTGTTGTACAAGCTTTGTGTTCCATTTCCATAGTTTAATTCTTTACATCGGTAGGTACTTTAATCGCCTCTTTTCCTCAACTACATGATCATCTCCAATTCGATATCACCTCGTTCTTTCGCTCCACAAATCAGCACGATCAAACCCAACTCGTCACCTATTGCTTGCCCTGTACGAGGCCTCCAAAAGTCCACAAACATTACATATTAACCCTGAAGATGGTAACTACAATGTTTGCCGAAACGACGGATAACTTTTAACATTCGACGCGGCTCATCCCGAAAATACAAAGTCGTACACTGAACTCCAACCACTAAACCAAAGGACAAGACTTGGATGTTATTTCTTTCTTTAGTGGTCTACTTAGTTACTAAACTGGACAATTAATTACTTTGTTAGTTGTAGATGTTGGTGTGAGTTTAGATTTAGTTAATCGGTCGGTGTGTTAGTTATTGATGTATCCCTCTTTATGTCCAGAATGAGGTGATGGAATCTCTTCCACTTCTCATGTTCGGAGTCATGTCGGTGTTTTCTGGATTACTGGCTCTATACTTCCCTGAAACTCTAAACGTGAAACTACCAGACACAGTTGAAGAAGCGGAAAACATTGGGAAACACATACGACGTATGAACGACGACAGCGAATACGAAGCCCAAGAACACATCTGACGTACACTCTGCAATTAACTTTAATTTATACCACCATGACAAGTAGGAGACATGGAAACAACATGGAGGCATACTGCAGTCAACATTCACTGCAACTACATTCTTAAAATAATGTCTTCGGAGACAGTGATGCAGCAGATTTTATAGAGTTCCCTTTGAAGCTGAAGTTTGTCTAAATAATATCTAAGGATTCAGCCCGTATTTCAAAGAAATCACAACACCTCATAATTACAAATATCAAGTGGTTAACGCTGTTTAAGGGAATAATCGCTCTTTACCTTGAGAAACATACGAAGCATATAAATTCAAGCTGCAAGCTTTATTGGTTGTTAAAGCAAGTGGCACGCTTGGTTTTAAAGGGTAAAACAAACATTACGACTCTATTGTTATTAAATCTAGGCACAAGAAACAAATCGAGTAGAGTAGCATTTGAGGTTTTCACAGAGGGGAGTTTGAAGACAGCCATCTTCAAATCGAGTAGAGGCTGCATTTTATACCAGACGATGCAAAGTGTGCTCCCTTGATTTTGGTAGGTGAAACCATATCATTTGAAATAACGTAAACTCTATGCATGACTGTAAACACAATTCTCTAGAAGAGAAGTTGTAAAATGTGATACGCAATAAAAATCTAAATTCTAATAAGACTTCCATAACACAACATTAAAATGTTTCAACCTAGTTTAGAACAAACAATGTTAACTTTAAGAGGGTTAAACATTTTGTGGTTCTTGGAAATAATATTTTGTAGACTTGTTTGATATATGCCAAGTGAATTCAAAGTGGAATTTTCTTCCCTTCAATATTCAATGAGAATCATTCTTCCTTCCTCAAATTTTCATGAAATGTTCAAGGAAAGATAAATTTATTGAACTCATTCTAAGCAAAATAACATATCTCCATGCCCCTATACGCCTCCATGCTTTGGAACATAGACACTGAGACAGCTTAACTTTTATCTTTAACTTATGAAACCTTATTCTTAAAATATCCTTCCTGAACATTAAATTATGATGTCCAAGTATTTTTAGGGGTATTCTAATACACATAATTATAAATAGAAATACCAGTTTTAGACCGGTTTTGGGGAGTAATCTGTTATTTAGGCTCTGTTCATCAGTGCAAAATGCTTGCAAACTCAGGATATGCGAAACATACGAAGCGTCCAAAAGTGAGCGAAAAATCTTGCCTTACTTGTTCTGCGTGTGGTTCTAGACGCGCGCGCACACACACACACACACACACACACATACTTGTTCTTTATGCACTAAACAAAAAACTGAATCAATACAATTTTAAAAAGTGGTCTTATTTATATACTTTACGAGTACAGTGTTGAGTGTACGCCCACTTCTCCATACGTTTCCATGGTCTGATGCTCAATTAAGCACAGGAACAAATTTACGTTTTACAATGTTACAGTTCGATTTTTAATTTCTGATACCAAATTGTAAAGTTTAGTACTTGTTTGTTTCGCAATTAAATAAATTACTTTTATACATAAGCCACGTTTCTCATCTATTTTATAAAAATCTAATGACACTGCAAAAGTTTATGTAAGTGCAATAATGAGCGTGATTTCACTAAGAAGTAACTACTTCAAAAAGAACTGTAATTATATTGTCCATTATCGGGCCTTACATTTCAAGTAAAATTTTGCCTTATTCAAGCTTAGACTATGTACTATAATCAATATTTACAAATACAAAATAAGACTAAATATATAGTGTTTATTATGAATTTTGTAGCATTTGTTCTGTTCTTCCTTTTATCCTTCGGCAGTTCCTCGTGACAAAAACATCCTTCAAACAATTAATCCTTAAGTCTACATGCATGCGAGATGTTGAAAGAACATCTCACAAGACAGTAATCTTCATATTCGTAGCTATGAAAACCTGAAACTTCACCTGCTCATCAAGATCGTTCAACATACAAGCCTAAGCATAATATGTGGACATTTACACCAACTTTACTTGTAATAAGGCTTTTCTATGTGATGTCTACGCATAGCTCTCGAAAAGTTTCCGTTAATTACGCAGGATAAGTTTCAAGAGCACGTGTTTTTTCAAGGCTGTTTCAGTTTGCATGATGCATCAAGCCGTCAAACATGTAGAGACAGCATCTCCTTGATCCATGCATTTCACCAGCAAAACTTATTGGTCCCTAGTAGCTGCATCTTCTCCGTAGATTAAATTAAATCCGTGGCGTAACTGCTCCAGAGAGCCAAAGCCGACTAGCTTGACTGCTGGTCTCACGTTCACATGCCTAAGCAGAGGTGAACGATCATCCAACCAGATATAGGGTGACGTGTGGTCAGCACGACGAACCCCCAGCCATTGCTAGTTTTCCTGACCGGATTACGCTACTCATTGTAGCTCCCCAATTTCCTCACGATGCTGGGTTGGCACCGGTCCCATACACTGGTCGAAAGCTCACGAGAAATTTTTTTCTCCCCCGAGACTCGAACCAGCGCGCATTCCGTATCGCCGGTCCGAAGCATGATGCCTCAGACCGCGCGGCTACGGCGCGGGAGTACTCTTCTCCGTAGATACTTACTTCAATTGTTGAAGGATGTTGAGCTACTCATGCAACAACGGTGTGATTTTAGCACGATGGTGCTTTGGGGCATGTCATTGTCTGTACGGAAGTGGTTAGGCTGGTATCAACCCGAGTGTTGTATCAGTCGTGGTCCCGTGGCCATCACGGTCACCAGACTTCAATACGACAGACTTTTTTTTGTGAGACTCCATGAAAGTGCGGTTTACACCAACATTGTTGATACCAGACAGAAACTCTGGCAACGCATACAGGATGCAGCAAACGAGATTCGTACCACATCCGGGGTTTTCGAATGCGTGTCTCCTTAAGACATTGCGTTGACGTATGCATTCATAATCATGGAGGGCATTTCGAGCATATGTTGTGTTCAAGTACATCTTCCTTCAGTCAAATATTTCGTATTTCAAAGATAATGTAAAAGCCATGCAAATTTTATTGTTACATTTCTGGGCCTATGTTCATATGCCACTTCTGACTCATAGTAATGTCCTGAAGGACCATTATTATTTACGGCACATTACTTCGAAACATTCTGCATACCTCGTTGTCCTTGCTGTTCATGTATCTGATAGTCGGTCAATTTTTATACGTATTCCTCATAACTTTAAATGTGTTATGTCACTGATCTAAATAACACCTACGACTCTCTGAAACAGGTTGTACTGCTTTACTTAAACAATCTTTCTTATTTGCCTTTCGGTTGCTGTATCTTATCGCGTCACACGACGTGGACTAATATTTAAATCTTATACACGTTCTAAATCACTTGTTATCTTTCATTATCTTCTAAATAAACAAGAGTGGAAACGTGTACTCTGCGGCATACACTGAGATTCCAAAGGTGCTGAGTTCCTGCTACGGCTGATGAAAGAGGCAGAAAGTACTTTCTGGACACCAGATGCAGAGGCTGAACAGTGCAGTACGCACCAACATTTAGAGTGACGTCAGTGACTTGATGCTGATTAACGTAAATTGTGCTAAGCATTCGTTACTTGCAGTTTAGATTGTCGCAGATATTT